ACCCACCCTATTTAGGGCTGGAGCAGGAGGCCCATCAGAGTGATTCTGCGATAAGTCAACACACGGCCCTTTTGGCAACTGATGCAAAAAACTAGGGCAAACTAAAACTGCTCATGTGTTGCAAGGTTAGTCTCAACTGGTTACTCCACCCAGACCTCCTTGCCAATTTTCTCCTTTGTCATCAGAGACCACATTTAACCCAGCAGGAATGTCTCTTGACTTATGTATATATGTAGCAACGTAGTCGAGTTTTGTGTACCCATCCTCTGTGTGAACGTCCGCTCGTTTATTAACACACTGCAATATCGTTCTCAGTCACTTGTCACCGAGTTCACCCCACATTCTGGCTTTAATGGAAGGCCCTTATATCACTGCTGAATCCAGTCCTGTCGAGACCCACAGCGAATGTGATCTGTGTGCTCGTCACTGTCCAGTTGGTTTGCTCCCCCTAAGTTGTTCTGGAATGGTAATAAAGAAACAGATGGAGAATCGTGACCGAACCACATTCAGGGATTTTCAGAAGCAGAGAACAGTGAAGTATTCTGCTCTCGCTGTCTTTGGGTATTCAATTCCTGCAGCCACTTTAAGAATCTCCATCTTAATCATTTTTGCAAAAGGGGGACAAAAATAAATAAATAAATAATCAATCCATGGAATTAAATTAGTAACTGAGGGCTTCCATTTTAACGGTTGAAATACAGTCCGTTTGTAAAGAGAAAAAATTACTTAGATCTTGAAGACTGCAAAGCTGGAGTTAACCACGTACTGCATAAAAATAAGCTGACAACATTTCAAAAGGGCACAAAACTCCACATCACCAAATAAAGTATCTGAACCAGCCCAGAGAATCATCGTTTAAAAAAATAAAATAAAAAATCCCAAGGCGAGAGTGCTAACCCACTACCCAGCAAAGCACAAACGGAGGAATCTCCAGCCTTGCCTGGCATGGTGCCATCAAGGGACTCGAGCACGTATTGAGGGGGAAAGTCAGTCCAGTAAATTTCCACCCGGGCAAGGGCAAGGCCCCTGCTAGGTAGGCCATATTTCTGTTCTACCTCTTTGGGAGACGAGGCATGAATGGACACCAGGCATCCGAGGCCAAATCCTGAATACTTTGCTTGCGCTGAACTCCTGTTGTGTAACCAGAGCTCTCCCTGACAGCTCGGGCAGGCCCACAGGATCTGCCCCTGATGATTAGTGCTCCAAGTCCCCACTCGCTTCTTTCTTTTGCTGGGGATTAACCAGTCCCCTAGTCTGTGACTGCTCCCTACCAAATGAGCTCGCAAACCTTGCATTGTGCAAACAAGCATTTGCACAAATTCCAAATAGATACTTCAATAGCTGCTTCCCCCCTCCCCCTTCCACTCATGCTGCTGTGAGCTTAAAGACAAATGCTCCTCTTAAGATCTGAAACCATTTCCTAGATTGTCTTTCAAGGTCCCTGCCCTCCAAACCCCTGACCCCAAGAAAACCTTCCATTTCCTTCCCTACTACACCCACCTTTCTAGTTCCAGGAACCAAGATCCAGCCTGACTGGTTACCTCAAATAGCACCCCAAAAGGCCACTCATTTTTTCCACACCAGGAAGGAAAAAATAAAAGAATAAGGTTCAAGTTTACTGACAAAGCCATGCACAAACAGCAGGGTGGGCACTTATGTAATTTTTAGTTTGTGGCTGAACAGATAGCTCTTCACTTCTTACTTCTCTTGGAGTATGAAAGCGAATCCCAGGAGTAAGTATGTCATAAGAAATTCCTGGAAACTCCTGCCTTTAACTCTTCCTCCCTGACCCCTCCCAGTGCAAGAACTGATCGTACAGCAACCATGGGTGGGAGTGCTGAACCTCTACCTCTACCTGTTCGGGCAAGAGGCTTCAACCAAGAAGAGAACAGCTACCTGTAGCTACAAGCCTGACTTATAGATTATAGACACTTTCCCAGCTCAGAGTGGGATACACATTCATTAAGGGAAAAAAAAATAGCTAGGTACTTATCAGTTTCTAGTTTTGCCAGTGGGCAGAAACTGGGCATGTGAACCAGGAAGGAAAGTGAATTCCCACCAATCCAGAGCAAAAGAGCAAGTATAAGGTGGAATGAGCAAGCAGAACAACTAACAGGGTTAGGATACATTTACATGTGTCCTCTTCTGTGAAAACGTAGGTCACTGACCCACCCTTCCCGAGACGGTGACATAATTTTGTTCTGCTTGAGACCTTAACTCTGATGGGTGAGAATGATAGCGAGTAGACTGGAAGAGGAACGGAAGTGCTGAGCACTGTGTCACTACAGCTATATCAGAACAGACTCCTCACCCACCTGCTCCTGCCTTCCACCTGCAGCCAGGCTAGCACATGCCACCTGGCCAGTGCCCTTCTCCCTGCCACACCTGAACAAACCCAGAGACCGCAGAGTCATGTCCCACCTACAGCAGTGGCTTCAGGGAAAACTGAAAATCTCCATAATGCACCAGGCCTTGGGGCGGGGAGAGAGTTCCTCCTTCTCCCCTCTGCAGCCGTACTTGTACACAGAGAAATGGATTAGATCAACCTGCACGGGTCCAACTGCAATGGGCAAAGTTACCCAGAGTCCAAACAGTGCCATCTGAGCTCAGTGAAGTCAGGGGGAAAAAACTGCACTGCATGGGAATGGGATGAGAAACAAAGGCCTGCCTCTGCCTATCTGCACGGCATCCCAGCCCTGCTCTGATCTCAGTCACTTATTCTGCCATCCTCCTGGAGCTCCTCCAGGCCTAGCGGGATGCTTCAAGCACAGGTATTGAAGGCCTGGATGCCCTACTGATTGACGGGTGCTTTGGCCAATCAAAAGAGCCCGAGTACAAAACAAACAAACCAACCAACCAACCTAGCTTGGATCAAAGAGTCATGGGACCTGGCACAAACACCTCTCCACATCCAAGATGCTCCTTTTCTCCCTTGCTGAAACACTCTCATTTAATTATAGATGGGAACAGGTCTCTCCATAGCTGAGGATGGCTTTGATTAGCAAGATAACAAGTGGCAGTGTAACCGTTTGTCACAAAAGACTTCTCTCTCAATAAATGTGGCGTTGCAAGAGTGGTAAAACCCCCTCAAGCGTCAGTTTTAATCAAAGTTAAACACCAGATCTCAGATGCTTGGAGTTGACTTTCTAATAGGGGCAGGGCTTCCACAGGCCTCCAGTTCAACTTGGGCACAGAAGAAGCGCTCAGCTTGGCACATGGGGTCTATGGCTGGTTCTTACAGCACCCCACAGCTAATTGGGCAACTTCGTAACACCAGTGAGCACCTTATCTCTGAAACGTGTAACTTTTCAACGAACTTTGCATTCCTTTGGGAAACCAGCACTTTACGGCTGAGGAACACCTGTTCATTTTCACATTCCCCCAGGACTAGAAAGCAAAACAGAGCACATTTTCCAAGGGTAAAAGCACTCACAACTCCAAGCCAGGTCATTGGAAACTGGTGAACTATTAGTGTGTCTCAACCCCACAACGCAACATGGCACATGTCTGAGCCCACGAAGAGGCACAGATCAGCATAACGCGGAAAACTTTTATCCACTGCCTACATTGTTACATCTCTAATCCTCCAAAACCCTCCCTATACTCCTAACATGATTAGGGCCGAGTGGAAAAGCCCCGCCATGTCATCCATGTTTGGGCTGCGCTGCTTTAATCTTTGGTTTCCCAGAACAAACCACAGGAGCAGCCAGAATGAATATTAACGACTGAATGAATATATTATGAGATGAGGCATGCCTCACCTCCAATAACCTGTTCACGGATATAGGAGGTAATAGTGTTTGAAAAAACAAAAAAAACCACATCTGTCACAAACTGCTGGAATTCGTAAGTCTGCCAGGTCCTCTAACTCAACCCTAACCAGTGTCCGTAGGGTGCTCTTTAAACTCAGGACACTGGTTACGGTTTAAAGCTGAAATATTGTCCCATTGGCTCCTCAAACAAATATCAACAAAAGCCATGGCATGAATCACTCCTGCATGCATCCAATCCTCATTTAGGCTGTAAACTCTTCATCGTAGGGACCTTCCCCACATACAGGTCCACAAACATGCATATTTGTTTTACAGTGGAGATAATTAGCAGCAGGGAAGGCTAGGTAATCATGACTGTTGTGCTCAGGGAACAGCAGTACATTCTACCAAGGGGCCATTTCAGGAAGCTAAAGCCACGCACTGCCCGCTCCCTTGGCTCTGAAATCAGAGACAAGTAGGGCTGGGGGACCCTCATGTAGTCCATCCCCCTGCTCGAGGCAGGATCATCCCTATCCAAACAATCCCATAGCAAGTCCTTGCCTAACCCATTCCTAAAACTACACAATCGACCCCGTCACCCAAGTACAAGGCATACTGCTGTGACCCCCTAAGCTGCCGCAGGGACAGCAGGGGACAGGAGCTGGCACTGCCCCACGGCTGCCCTGCAGAGACCCAAGGAAGAGGGACCTGCCCCTGGCTCCAGGGGAATCGTCAGGCCTGCCCCAAACACCGGCTGAAGCAGGAGGAGATGCACACACACGCACATTGGTCCCAACGTGATATTGCATCCACCAATAGGCTAGAAATCGCAAACTCCGTGGGCCCCGACCAGGATGACAGGAAGGCCTGCGATCTCATAAATCCCAACCAACACCGGGACTCCGCCGAGGAGCATTGTCGACAGATGCCCAAGCGCTCGGGCAGCCCAAACCTCTTTTCCGCCAGAGGTTCAAACCTGGCTCTGAACCGACACCCCCCACCCCCCACCCTTCTCCTCCTCCTCCCAACGCTTCTTATATAACAAACCGGCCGTGCAAAAGCGGTGCTCAGAAAAAAGAGGCATCTAATGACCTTCAGACGCATCCCGGGGTGTCCACAGGAGCTCTCCGGACCGGGCCCCACGCCCGTCCTGGCTGGGGGGGGAAGGCGAGGAAGTCCCAGCGGAAGAGGAGAGACGGCAGGCGAGCGGCCCCCCGCCCCTCAATCCGCCCTCTGCTCTGGCCGCCACTTGCCTGCCTGCAGCGGGGCCGGGTCCTCGGGGCGCTCAGCGCTGGATTATTTATCAGGCTGCAAGTTGCTTCCTGCAGCCTGGTGCCGCGGACC